TAGATATGGTTAAATCCACTAGATATCACTAGTCTATATTTACATTCTTTCCTGAGTTACCACTCTCTTTTTCATAACTATGAAAATATTTATATGCTAAGAATTTCCAAGTTATTATCTCTGGCCTTAACCTTTTTGGTGATGATGTATCAGTATATGGTACATGTATAGTTCTGCCTATAACTCTATATGTATATAAAAGGCCAATGCAATTTAGCAAGTCTTGACTTTCTTCCACAAATTTACTTTTCTCCATAGTCCTCTCTGATTTTATATAGTGGCATCAAAATATACTATTTGTGCCCCAAAAGAAAGAATCCCTTGGATTCTGCTGTTTCCTTCCCTAGCAATCCTTCAATAGTGGAAAGGAATCTAAGTTATAAACAAATCTTACATATCTACCTCTAAAACATCTCCCAAATCCACTACATCTTATTGTCTCCATAGGTTCCCTTTAACTTATACTCCTATGATCTTACCTCTGGACTATTTCAATAGACTCCTAAATGGGCCTAATAACCACCTCATAGGGTGTGACACTTAAAAGGCTCTGTTATAAAATTGCTGTTAAGAATAAAGTCTGGGAGGCTCGGCGCCTGTGGCTCAAGTGGCTAAGGCGCCAGCCATGTATACCCAAGGCGGCTGGTTCGAATCCAGCCCGGCTCGCCAAACAACAATGAAAGCTACAACCAAAAAAAAAATAGCCAGGTGTTGTGACAGGCGCCTGTGGTCCCAGCTACTTGGGACGCGGAGGCAGGAGACTCGCTTGAGCCCAGGAGTTGGAGGTTGCTGTGAGCTGAGATGCCACGGCACTCTACCCAGGGGGACAGCTTGAGGCTCCTGTCTCAAAAAAAAAAAAAAAAAAAGAATAAAGTCTGGGAAATGGAATGACAGTAACTTCAGTGAAGGCATGGCTAGATAGGGAGTCAGAGAAGAGATATTTGAGTGGGTGATATTAGAATTTGAGTAATTAGAAGTAGATTGAGCAACGTGTAGGGAAAAGAATATGATAGACAAAACAACAGCAAGTGTAAATGCTCTATGGGGAAACCAGCTTGTTGTTTTGAAGACTAGCAAGGACTGAAGGAGTAGATTAATTGAGAAAGTGACACCAGGGCCATCTCAGAGAGCTGGTGGGACATGAAAAAAAACTTGAGTTTTATTCAAAGTGCAGTGGAATACCACCAAGTCTCACTAGGTCTTGGGGGAAGAAATAGTGAAACAAATTTCAAAGTTGAGAAAGCAGAGATAAACTTGGTGTATGGAAGAAATGTGTAATATCAACAACAATTAAATGCTACCAGATGATTGATGTGAAGGAGTACATGACCCACAGAAACAGAAACGTGGTGGGTTATTTCTCGGCAATGAAGAGGTTCCTTCATTTCACAGGGAGTTGAACTTGATAAACTCTAAAGTTCCATCACAGTCTTCTAAAGTGTCCCTTTACTATGGTAGATCTGATGGGGCCATTGTGAAATCTGAGCTATGGTCACTGAAATCAATCCTTTTACAGCTGGTCTCCTGGCTGCCACTATTAGCTCCTGCTAAACAATCTGTCTACCCCAACTATTTCTTCCCACTCATTGTTACATTCTGTTTTGAACATTTAATTGAAGTTTAAGGTGCACACAAAGAGTATACATATCAAATTTCTACAACTTTAATGATTTCCACAAGACAAATGTACCAATTTAACCAGTCCCAAGTAAGAAATCGAACTTCACGCTCAATGAAAAAATCCATATTGTGCCCTCTCCTAGTCTACTCTCACAAAGGATATCAAATATTCATGATCTGTGTGTATATGACTTAATAAAAAAACAAATATTATTATCTTAACACCATAGATTATTTTAACTGTTACTGATCTTTATAAAACATGGCACCACACAGTCTGTAATCCTGTGTCACATAACATGTCCTTCATGTCGCATGTGAGAGTAGCTTGTTCTCTCTCATTGCTGAACAGAAATTTATATGAATATGACACAATTTACTTTTCCATTCTACTATTAATAGATATTAACCAAGGTCTGAGATCTAACAAAACAATTCCTTCACATTTTCATGAGACTGCTTCATTCATTCATTCATTAATCATTCATTCTCCTATTTGAATTAGTAGTACAGAGGCCTCAACACTGAGAGGAAATGAGGCTACAAGATTTGCAAACAAGAACAATTTGGGTTCTTCATTTCCAGTTTGGATGTCCTTTTTTCTTTCTCTTATCTAATTGCTCTGGTTAGGACTAATACTAGGACCGATAGGATTACATTGAATAAAGCAGTGAAAATGAGCATCTGTGTTTTGTTCCAGTTCTCAGAGGAAAGGCTTGCTTTCCCCTATTGAGAATGATAATAGTTGTGGGTTTGTCATACATGACTTATATCATGTTAAAATATGTTCTTTCTATAGCCAGTTTTTTCAGAATTTTTTTATCATGAAAGGTTGTTGAATTATTAAATGCTTTTTTGGGCATCTGTATGGTAAATGCTTGAAGTGATAGCCCAACAACCCTGATTTTACCATTGCACACTGTGTGCCTGTATCAAAACATCACAAATTCCATGAATATGTACACTCCTATGAATATGTAAATTAAAAATAAAAAAAATAGGGTGGCACCTGTGGTTCAGTGGGTAGGACACCAGCCCCATATACCTAAGGTGGCGGGTTCAAACCCAGCTCCAGCCAAACAGCAATAAAAAAAAATAACCAGGCATCGTCGCAGGCGCCTGTAGTCCCAGCTACTTGGGAGGCTGAGGCAAGAGAATCACCTAAGCCCAGGAGTTGGAGGTTGCTGTGAGCTGTGTGATGCCGTGGCACTCTACCAAGGGCAACAAAATGAGACTCTGTCTCTACCAAAAAAATAAATTAAATAAATAAATAAAGGAATGAAATTAAATGCCTGACTCTGAAATCTATGCAGGATATATGTAACTGTGATAAACTGTAAGGCCAAATATTTAACTAAGATCACTTGATGGCCTTGAGTTTCTAAAGTGCCCTCAGTAACTCCATGGAACACATGCTGTGATTGACTACAACCTCCAGAAAAAACACCTCCGTGGTTCAGGAAGCCCCAAACTTCTCATGTCCAATCCATGTCTTCCTAGGTTCTAAATATTATGCTTCTTTCTTGGTTATACAAAATTACTTATTAAAGGCATTTCACAAAGATCAGCATTCAGGTTACAGGTGCAATGAGTTACCACACTGTCAATGCCACCCTGCTGCACAACACACAGGTTATGTACCAGTGACTCTCACTGTACAGGAGGGCCTACACTATAGACATGAAATGCTGACCAGTCTAAAAGTATCCGTAATCATTTACCTCACAAGTCTAAGTGGTTCATAATGTTGCCAAGATTACAGCAACATCGAAAATAAATAAATGGGACATGATCTAGCTAAAAAGCTTCTTTCTGCATATCTAAGGACAGGTACCATAACTAAAGCAAACCGACAGCCTTTGGAACGGGAGAAGATATTTGCATGCTACAAATCTGACAAAAGACTAATAATTAGAATCTACAACGAACTCAATTTAATCAACAAGAAAAGAGCAAACAACCCCATTTATAAGTGGGCAAGAGACTTGAACACTGGTCTATATTCATAAACTTCTCTGAAGATGACAGTTGAATAGCCAATAAACACATGAAAAAATGTTCATCATCCCTAATTATCTTTTTTTTTTTTTATTGTTGTTGTTGTTGTGGCAGATTGGCCGGGGCCAGGTTCAAACCTGCCTTCCTCGGTATATGGGACTGGCGCCCTATTCACTGAGCCACAGGTGCCGCCCAATCATCCCTAATTATCAGAGAAATGCAAATCAAAACTGCTCTGAGATATCACCTAACTACAGTGGGATTAGCCCAGATTAAAAAGTCCTGAATCTTTAGTTGCTGGTGTGGTCATGGAGTAAAGGTAACAATTTTGCACTGCTTGGAGGTATTACAAACTAATACAACCTCTATGGAAAGAAGTATGAAGAATTCTCAAAGAACTAAAGGCAACCTTCCATTTGATCCTGCAATCCCATTACTAGGTATGTACCCAGAAGAACAAAAATCATTTTATACAAGGAAATCTACACCAGAAAGTTTATTGTAGCTCAATTCACAAATACCAAGATGTGACAGCATCCCAAGTGCCCATCAACCCATAATTGGATTAACAAACTGTGGTATATGTATACCTTGGAGTACTCTTCAGCCGTAAGAAAAGATGGAGACTTTACATCTTTTGTGTTTACCTGGCTGAAGTTGAAACACATTCTTCTTAGTAAAGTATATCAAGAATGGAAAAAAAGTATCTAATGTATTCAATACTAATATGAAACCAATAGATAACCAAGTATTCACCCACTCAAAAGAAAGAACACAAGTGTAGTCTAGCAAGGTGGAGGGGAGAGTAGGGAGAGGGATGGGGGATGAGGGAGTGTGATTGGCAGGAACTCACCTAATGTTCACAATATGAGGTGTTCAGCACACCCCCTGGGTGAAGGGCTCAACTACAACTTGAACTTTACTTTAGAAATGAAAACAATGTAACCTAAATATTTATAGTCTCACATTAATCTGAAATTTATAAAAATGAATGTTGCCAAGGGCAATAACAATGCTTCACAATTTGTATGTTTCAACAGACAGCTATCTTCTCCCCCTAAACCTCTTCCTATCCCTGTATTGAACTAACTCCCACTCATAAACCAAAAATTCTGTAATCTGCTCTGAAAATCCCTACTCAAAACTTTCTTGAATCTGTTTTACATTTTTTGTCTCCTTTATGCCCTACAATAAACAGATATGATACCAAACTATAATTTCCAGTTCAAATATCTAACACTTTTATTCACTTGCAGCTCCATGGACACAGAAATAAAGGTCAGCACATAGCACAATGCAAGGTACACACTGTTCAGTAAATACATCTAAAATGAAGAATATATCGTCTGATAGCCATTCCAAAAGAAAATGAGGTGACTCACCTGTCTGAAAGATAGCCATATACCAGACCTCCCAGGAGTGAACCAGCCATAAGTAGGAATTGAGCCACTGATTTCTGTAACTTAGCTTCACACACCAGGTCCCACTGGAAGAGAAGGAAAGCAGCACGGGGGAGCTGATGAAGACATTGAGCCCTTTAGTAGATACTGACTCCAAACTCCTACATAGGACGTGTATGACCGTCGGATGTGATTGTCCTGCCTCCCTCTCCAGCATCATCTACAGACACTGTCCCCTAGTAGCCCACACTCTGACGATACTGGCCCTATTTCAACACTTGAATTGCAGCTGACTTTTTCTCTGACCTCAGACCCTTCCAAAAGCCTTTACACATGTATCTATGTCTCTATTCATTTTATCTTCACACCACCACCTCCCTTTACTGTATCGACTCACGTACATTCTATCTGCATATTAATTAAATACACATAAGAACCATAAATAAAAAATTCCTTTACCAAAATTTTAAAAGCCATATGCAAAAAACCTATAAATTTTCTAGGATGGCCACCTTAAGCATGTAGGTTACATAAGGACCCAGCCTTTGGCCTCACCAAGCTGGGATTTCAACTATTACAATAACTATCATCTTTGGTCACAGGTTGAATCATTCAAAAAGCTTCAGAAATACTGGTGCCTGAGTCCTATGACCAGAGGTTCTGATTTATTTGCTCTGCATATTAGTTTGGCAATGAATATTGAGATCCTTTGATATTACATGGCATTTGTCTACTAAAATATTATAGGTCTTATAATTCTTTCTCACTAAATTGGGTTTAGTTTCTTCAATTCATTAGACTTAACTTGACTGCATCATAGTGCAGATAAGCAATTGCTACCTGCTGAAGGAATGAGGAAAGTGCTGACTGCAGCACCCATCTGAACACTAAATGTGTAAAGCAATTTCATCCTTGGTGTTGCCTCCAACCCCCACCCCCACCAATAACATAAAGATAACGTAAAGCTTCGTACCTCAGTCACAATGGTGGAGGAGAAGAAGCTTCGATCGTACGCCCAACCATCCACACAGAGCTCTGTGTCTGGCTCACTCATATTTGAAAAGTTCCCATTTGGGTAAAGGAGCTGCCACTGGGGAAGGACAAAGCGACGACACTTCTGTAGTCTCAGGTTGGAGTCCAGTGGGATGGAGATTCTCAGGAGGGCATCCTGGCCAAGAGTCCCAGTGTCATTATTGGAGACAGTGTCATTGTCGAGGATGTGGACCCAGCAGCGATGATCAGGGATGGCTGCAGTAAAGTTCTCCAGTAAAATATGAGGGTACAGGAAAATGATGGTGATGAAAAATAAAGCCAGCTGAAGGATCTGGAATCTGCCCAGGCTTCCAACTTGATCCAGGAGCACCTCAAAAGCCATCAAGTTTTAACAGGTGATTCTCTCAAAGTTACCTTATGGAGATCAATTCAGAAAAAGAAAAGATTTTCTTTCCACTAAGGCACAAGAATCCCGTGTTGATCCAGACACCACCTTCTCCTCAATGGGCCCGGTCACACCACTATAGCAGAGGAGTGCAAGGAGTTTCCTGAAGTCCTATAAGTCTACAGAGCTGGAGCATTTCAGTAAAGTCACAGATATAATTATTTGGCAAAGAGCCCTGTAGCCCTTGACAAGTGAACCTGCCTAAAGAACTACTCACTGAAGGATCCTGAGCTCCGAGCTTCCTGAGAAGTCAGTGATTGACTTTCAGGTGGGTGTAATCTCCACCCAACCTGAAATATACCTTTTCAGTGGCCTGCCATTCTTTTCAGAAAAGAGATAATTGAGACATTATAGCAAATCACTTTATGATATTTTTGAGCAAAGAAAAGAGAATAGAGATTTTTTTCTTGGTTAGGACTGAAGTTTCAACAAAAAGTTAATGAAAACTAGGTATCTTAGTTAAAGTAAAACAACATGGAATGTTGTGTACAAATGCTGACTTTTTGTAAGTTAAGTTTTGCTTCAATTCAAATCATACCAGTTCTAGTGATTTTAAAATTGTTGAAGAGGCAAAATTGATGTAATAGGCCGAGAGGATAGAAATAGTGCATTTTTACAGAGATGGGGTCTCACTCTGTTCTCCAGTCTCTCACCCATCATGGACTGCAGTGACACCATAATACTTCACTGTAACTCAAACTCCCAGCCTCCATGGACTGTCCTGCCTTGCAGCATTCTGAATAGCTAAGACTAAAGGTACAAGGTACCATGTCTGGCTATGTCAACAACCCCACAGATAGGTATATTTACCCAAAGGAAAAAAAGACATTTTATCAAAAAGACACTTGCACTCAAATGTTTATAGCAGCACTATTCACAATTGCAAAGATTGTAAGTACCCATCAATACATGAATGGATTAACAAAATGTGGTGTACGTATACCATGGAGTATTACTCAGTCATAAAAAATGGTGATATAGTATTTTTTGTTATAATTTGGATGGAACTGGAAATCATTCTTCTAAATGAAGTATCACAAGAATGGAAAAATAAACACCACATATACTCAATACTAATTTGAAACTAGTTGATTAACTCTTTTATGTGCATATGTGGAAGTTAAACTCAACAGACATCAAGTAGGTTCAAGCTGGAGGAGGGGTTGTGGAAATTCACACCTAACTAGGGAAGGAGGGCAAAGCAACTCTCCAAATCTCCCTTTTTAATGGAATAGAGAGAGAGTGAGGGAGATTCCTCCAAACTCTTAACAAAGAACCAGCCATCCTGAGAGTCCACTGGGGGCTGGAAGCTGGGTAATGATGAGGCAAAGCAAATTCCCAACAGACAGCACTGCAATACTCAGTTTACTAGTATCCAATTATTAGGCATCTTAACTTTAGTAAAGTTTGGGAATGCAAAAAATTCCATATTAATTCTGGATAGTTTTGTCCATTTAGAAAAGAATGATCACAAATTGGAGTGAAAGGTCCTGGGAGGTGTTGGCCATAAAAAGGGCTATCAACTCCACCTCTCTTATGAAAGTTTGACGTGCTGCATTTTCTTTTTGAGAGGTTCTATGATCTATATAATTCATATATCACTGAGGTTTGAAAGGGACACAGGAAATAGGCTTGTCAGAAATAGCCATTTCAAGGCACAGTGGTAAATTCTTCAGTTAAAAAGGACCAATTTTTTTTATTAAATCATAGCTGTGTACATTAATGCATTTATGGGGTACAATGTGCTAGTTTTATATACAATTTGAAATACTTTCATCAAACTGGTTAACATAGCCTTCACCGCACTTTCTCAATTATTGTGCCTTTGTGTTAACTTGTGCCCGCCACTTTTAATACAGCTGTTTATCTCACAGTCGGGAATTGCAATCCCATATGTGACCTGCAGGTGGCAGCCACGTACCGCCATTTAATTTTATGTCATCATTTGCAAGGGGAGACTCAGGATCGCAACAAGATTGGAGAAAACAGGGGAGGCTCTAATACTTGATTCCAATAGACACATATAAAAGCTCTTACCTGAGGAATGAATGTAATGAAAAGGAAAAAGAACCATTCCTTCTTAGAGCGTAAAGTGTTGGAAGTTAAACTTGCCATTAAAGCTAAAAGAAGGGTTTCAGTGTTGGCGCTCCAGTTGTGTTGAGGGCTTCCTCAGTCTGAGATGCTGAGATGTTCAGGGTTCTCCAGGTGATATAGAAGGAGGATGGCTGTTCTTGGGCTGTACTTGTCTCAGCTGTCTTTGGGGCTGTCTCCATAGGAGGAGCTGATGGACGCTGTCCTCACCTGGAGAGTACTTCTGAGTCAGATATCATTTCAGGGATGGGCTCCTCACTGAGGCATCTGTTAAATAGAGATTTTTCATCTCTGGAACTGTATTCCCCCTTTCCATCAGTTGCTGGCTCATGGTAAGGCTTCGTCAGACGTGCTGATATTTATCACCAGCATTTCTGATAAAGCCACCAGAATCCAGAGAGTGCCTTTTGGTAATAAAACAACAGCATAACCCCAGCCCCTGCCAAAAGTTTGGCAGGTCCTAGTCATTTGGGGTTTCTCAGAGGTTCTTGGCATAACACCAGAGGCTTGGGGTCTTTGCCTAGGGGGATAAAATTTTTTTCAGCAGCAGTAAGGCCATTTGTGGAGCAATTTTTAAAAATAAGGGTAAATATTTTATGTACTTGTTCTTGTGGGGCAAGCGTATCCTTTATGCTCCACTCTCTTTGTTCTGTTTTTGCAGTTGATTTTTTTAACATTCTGTGAGGACATTCAATAATAGCTTGTCCAGAGGGATGTAGGGGGTGCCAATAGTGTGTTTAATAATCCATTGTTGACAAAATAGGGCAAAAAGAGTTGGAGGTGTAAGCAGGCCCATTGTCAGTTTTCATATTTGGGGAAAGACAGAGGGCTGATATTGTGGAAAGTAAATGATGTTTAACATGTTCTGTGGTTTCCCTGGTTTGACAAGCTGTGTGAAGGATTCCTGAATAAGTAACAATGCACACATGAACATACTTGACTTTACCAAAGGGTGGGTATGAGTGAAATCCATTTGCCATAAGATATTTATGTGTAGACCTTGGGGATTAGCTCCCATGGGGAGAGAAGTGGACATTTGCTGACATTCAGGGAAGGCACAGTGTCATTAGCTTGGCAAAGTGCAATGGAAAAGGAGCAAACTAGCTCCTTGATGGAAAAATTGATGTGACTGGATGGCAGCAGAATGGACTTAAACATTACTATAGTCTGCTATGGCATTGCTTTGTGTAATAGGGCCTGAGAGATTAGAATGAGAATAATACATGGGTGATAAATATAGGTTTTTTCTGATTATGTAAGTTTTTGTAGGGAAAGGAATAAGTTTAATATATTTTCATCATGAACTTGGTGTACAAGAGCATCATTGATGACTTGTATGGTTTGCCCAATATAGGCAGGGCGAGCTACAATGTTTAATGGATTAGAGAAAGCTCTCAATGCTAAAATAGCAGCTGCTAATTCTGCTCTTTGGGTGCTGGAATGTCCCTCAGTTATGAAGTTTTCCCACTTGTCTTTTTCTTTCCAAGTCACTGTTCCTTTTCCTGACCTCCATGAACCATCAATAAAGACAGTGAGTGCTCCTCCAATAGGCTTAGAGGAGAAGGGGGTAAAAGGAGTAACAGGGAGCAGTTGTTTTTTGTTTGTTTTTGAGACAGTTTCACTATTTCTCCCTTAGTAGAGTGCTGTGGCATCACAACTCACAGCAACCTCAAACTCTTGGGCTTAAGTAATTCTCTTCCCTCAGCATCCCAAGTAGCTGGGACTACAGGCACCCGCCACAATGCCCAGCTATTTTTGTTGCAGTTGTCATTGTTGTTTAGCTGGCCCAGGCCAGGTTCAAACCCATCAGCTTTGGTATACGTGGCTGGCGCTGTAACCACTGTGCTACGAGCACTGAGCCAATAGGGAGCAGATGTAAACCAAGTAAATCTTTTAATGGTAGGGTATGGTATTTGAGTTTCCCAACAAAATACTAAGGTCAATTTGAAATAATTCACTGTGAATCTATGCAGCCATAAAGTTGTCTTCGTCAAGGTCTGGGATAATTACTTGAGGATCAAAACCACTTAGTTGCTGGCAGTGTAAACGGCCTTGGTGAAATAAGGAAAATCTTTGGTCAGTTTTAGTGTACAGTTTTTTCTTGGGGTGATGGGCTAAAAATGTCCATTCTATAATTCTTACATTTGGGGTAAATTGACAAAGTAATCCTGTTGAGGTATGGGCAGTATTCCAAATTGTTAAATGTATGAGAGGCTTTTTAACACATTGGAGCTTGTTCAATTACTTCTTCAATGTACTTTAACTCTTTTGGGCTTCAAGGGAGGACAAGTTTTGTGGGAAATCTAAAGCAGGGTCTCCTTTTAGGTAATTGAATAGATAGATGAGATAGGGCATGAGTAGTTATAGCTAAAGTTGAACACAGCCAATTAATGTGTCCTAGAATTTTTTGTAAATCATTTAAAGTGATTTTGGATCAGATATGTATGGAGAGCCATTGAGGCTTGATGGTATGAACTCCAAGTACATATGCTAAGTATTGCCAAGGCTCAGTTTGTTGTATATTTTTTTTCTGGGGCAATTATCAGGCCAGCTGTTGTCAAGGTTTGTGTTAAACCTAAAAGTAATTATGAAAGAACAGATTTGTCCTTATGAGCTAAAAGTATATCAACCGTATAGTGGTCAGTTATGGCTTCAGGGTATTATTCTCTAATTGGCTTTAAGGCTGAAACAATGAAAAGTTGGCACAAGGTAGGGCTAATAGCCATCCCTTGAGGTAAAACTTTCCATTGATAGCATTTCATAGGAGCAGCACAGTTAGTGCTGGAAACTGAAAAATAAAACTTTTCTCTATTTGAAGGATTAAAAGGTATTTGGAAAAAGCAGTC